AACATTTTCTTTTTTTGCCATAAAAATTCATAATATATTTGGCTATAACTCCATTTATAATGTTCAGATCGGATTAAAAAGTACAGCATGCACTTCTACGGAACATTTCCAATAAGATTGGTGCATTGTCAAACTAAATTATTGTACAAGAAATTAGGTATGCATTGTCAACTATTTTTTTTTTTCGTGATTTCAGATGCTTCCTGTAATTATTATACCCGGCAGTTGTCGCGCGTTGTGATTGCCGATGCGTTCATTTTAAGGCGTTTTTTTTTTATACTTAGCGCGACCCTGCCGGGTCGTTGGATATCTATGATAATATAATGTATTTTGAATTATGATAACTAGATGCAATGTTTTTGGAAAAATTGATTGACCATGCCTTATGCAAAATGCGTCTTAACTGAAAAATAAAATATTTGTTTCAAAATAAAATATATGACAATATTTAAATATAATATATCCTAGACTGACAAATCATCTCCGTTCAGAATTGTTTTTCGTATACAATGATACATATCGTTGCATTCAAATCTAACCTACTCTAGTCAGAGGTCCACCCCACCACCTAATGTACAGCAGAGCGATACCCACTTTCCCGCTTTTTTTCTATTATTTAATTCTATTTGATTTGTAAATGTTTTTTTTAAATTATTGTATTTAAATACAATAGATATATATTATAATTAGGGCCCGGATTTAAATGTACTCAAAACTATACAAATATGCTCTAAAAAATAGCCATACATGTCCTTAAAAAATGCATTTTACCTCAAAAAATGACCTTAAAAATGCCATTTATATTTATTTTTTATACAATTGGTTATTTTAATTTGGAATTTATTATTAAAATATATTTATTACTGTATTAAAAAAAAATTTGAAAAATTGACTTGATGCTGCTATGAAAAAAGTAAAAACACACTAGTGGAGTTGATATTTTTTTTTTCAGGTAAAATAAACGTACCGGTGGAATTTACATGAAAAAAGGTCACAATCGATGGATTTTACATGCGCTTGTATATATAGGTGGTACTGTATAACACTATAAGCGGTTCTCAAACTGTGGTACGCATACCACTAATGGTATGCGAAAGACTCTATGGTGGTACGTAAAAGGCCACATGGTGATAGGATGGGAAATTAAAAACAAATATTAGATTCTTAGCGTAGCGATGATTTTACAATGTCGTGTGTTTTTTTAATATTCAGATAATAAAGGTTAGATTTCACGGAAAATATACGTCAATAAATAAGATATCTTATAGGTATAATCGTTGATATTGTCAATATAAACTTGCAAAACTAAAGTGCAGAACAAACAAATGCATTTGTCGATCAGCGGGAATATTGTGTAACTCAAAATGTCACAACACTCACAACAGCAAGCCTTGCGAAAATAAATAATAAAGATAATATATTATTAATAATAAAAAAAAAATAAGACAAATATTAATAAGTGTAGTGTGTAATTAATTAAATTGAAGTGTATTTTTTATTTACGTAATTGACCAACAGTCAGTGGTTAATAACGTTAATATTCGATCATTGAGATAAAATTGTTTTATTTTATTTTGTACAATAACCTATATCTTGGATACTGACGTTATTGCCCAGTAATTAACGAAAATAACCTAGCAAATTGGCTTCTAACGTTAATGACCGATTAATGACGTAAATATTCAATTTTCATCATTGGCTGTAGCATATGCCATATAATATATTATATTATTAAATATTCCTACCCAAAAGGACACTGTAGATAATCTATTTTATCTAATACTAGCTGAATTATTCGTCGTTGCCGGGTTTAAGTATAAAAATATGTGTAATAATGTATGTATTTGTGCGACGATATATAGACCAGTTAATCAGCTTACATACTGTTTTACATATATACAAATTATGATATACGTATAATATATTATATTTTGAAATAAACATATTAATATAATTAAATATTTAAATATATATGCGATAAAATGACAGGCGATCAAATGTAGCATTATTCGATTTTACTCACGACGAAATGTCGTATGCGTCCAATTGTCGTGCGACCAAATAACCGCGACGAAATAACGGGATATCATAATAATTCAGATGCATGTTTTTATTGTTTTATATAGAAAAACAATGTGGCCATGTATGTAACTATACGTAATTTATATTACATAAACAGGGTTGGGCAGTATCTTAGATACAAATTGTATCTTGTATCTTATTGTATCTCGATACAATTATATGAAATATCGAGTATCTTGTATCGTGATACGCATCAAAGCAAAGTATTTCGTATCTGGTATCTCCATGACAAATAAGACTTATTTGTTTTTTAGTTTTATTTTCTTATTTGTCATGAGTATCTCGATACTGCTATTTTAGTATCTTGCAGTCCTTGGAAATTATTTTTCAGTACCGATAAATCATAAAATTATAAAC